TATAGAAATAGACACACAAATCTATTTCTATAACAGGGGGGCGGGGGGTGACGGGAAGGTAACGATTGCAATGGGACCGTCAGCGACTGCGTCGGTGCTTGTTGATCGCAGCTTATGGAAGCGGACCTAAACCATGATGATTTCCTGTCTGTCGTTTGAATGTACGGTAACTGTGGAAACTCACACCTGAATGATTCGGTGGACGGCCACCTAGCCCAATGAAACACACCCAGTCTTTGGAGCCACCCAGTCCTGGGCTCAAAGCCCAGCTCCGCAAGGTCAGCGGTCCAAGCTACTGGTGCATTCTTAACCTTAGGTCCCTCATCTCAAAACGGACCGAGCAACATCCATGAGTATCCGATGCATATGTAATTTAGTATCACACTCATTACTTGTGCCTAGTAGGTGTTTAACACTCACGCTCTTTCTCTCTACCATGCTCATTTATCAATGAAGTAAAAGCGTTAAAGTGAGTAACAAATTATGGGATTTCTTGTTAACAAAGGGTATTTTGAAGCCTTGAACTTGGCATGTTTCAGGGAAATAAAGTGGGCTAAAGGAGGAAAAGGTAGAACAATAGTAGAATTCAGGTCCCTTTCTTCCCCGGAGGTCCCTGCTCTGACACCTTTCCTCTCTCACTGAAATGGCCCATCGCCTCCTTAGTTCATTGTTTTCCTGGCTTGGTAAAAGCATTTATCCTTAATGAATGACCTTCCCATGTTCCAAGGGACTTTCAGACCTATTCTGTCTCTGCTGAAAAGTTTTTTTCTTTTTGACTGACTACCCCTGCCCTCATCCCCTCCCACCAAACCCCAGCTTTTGGCTTGAGCACACGTTTCTTATGCGAATCTCCAGATTGTAATATCTCTGTGTCCCCAGCATCAGGGCAGGGCTCATCCCCCGGAGGCACTCAGGGAATATTTCCTGAGTACCTGCAAGAACAAAGGGTGCAGTAAACACGAGACCAGGTGGCACTAACTGAGCCCAGGTGTGCCTGGCCTCACCCGGCGGGCACACAGCTGAGCACACACACCGCAGGGCTGTCNCCAGGTGGCACTAACTGAGCCCAGGTGTGCCTGGCCTCACCCGGCGGGCACACAGCTGAGCACACACACCGCAGGGCTCCACGGAACACCTGCCACGTCACCTGGGCAGAAGGCCCTGACTGTGGGGTTCAGCCCGAGACTGGGGTTTGTAAACTCCCTACATTTACTGACACTGACAGTTATTCCCATGCACTTGGAGAGCCGACCGAGGTCCTGTTATGCCAGCTGGGGAAACCCTCCCAGAACAGGGATAACAGCGCGACCTCGTCCCGAGGAAGGCAGAGGGAGCGTCAGAAACATGCGGCGGCTCAGCGACGTCAACCAGACACTCCCAAAATGTTCCACCCTCTTTAATGGCTCTTTAAGATGCTCTGGTGTCACTATCTTTATTTCAAAAAACAGAACCACTGAGTAAGAAAGATCCAAGGGACAAATTCTGTGACATAGTTAAGGTGTTAGAATCAGAAATGNCTTTGGTGTCACTATCTTTATTTCAAAAAACAGAACCACTGAGTAAGAAAGATCTAAGGGACAAATTCTGTGACATAGTTAAGGTATTAGAATCAAAAATGTCTGAACTGGGGAAGGAGGGAGGGAGGGAGGGAGAGGAGACACAGGTGTACAAGGAGGAAAACCGAGAAGGTATTTTCTGTTCCTTTGCCTCTCGCTCACCTTTTATGCAGAACAGAGCGACGGCGGAGCTGGCGGCCGCCTGGCGGATGGTGGGCAGGGTGTCACAGGAGTGTGGGACCAGGAGGCCGAGGAGCGAGCCGATTTTAAAGTTCTCTGGTGCCTGCAGGACAAAGGGGCCCCCACGGCGATGGGGTGGCTTGGTAAGACCTCCAGAGAGTCCCAACACTGGATAGTACGGCCCTTGTTTTCTCCCTGCAGGTCCTTGGAATGACACCAAATCCTGAACTTTCCCTTTCAGGGGGTGGAACATAAGCAGGCACGCCGGCCAAGACACCCAAACAGCCGGTCCCCGTGTGCTTGCCGCCGCCCGGGCTTAGGTGGCACCCCTCTAGGGCGCCCTCCCTCTGGGACTGGAGACCCACCGAGGAAGAGGTCTGGATTCCAGGGGCCTCAGGGATCCCTCAAGCCACGACACCCGTTCATTCGGGGCGGGGGTGACTCACCGCCACGTCATTAGTCAGCACCTTTGCGGTGATCTGGAAGGCCCTTTCCCTCTCCCACTCTTTATGTGAAACGAGCCACATTCGGAGAAGCTGTTGGTCAGAGGATCGGCGTGGCTCCCTTAGAGTCCTTCACGGCCACTCACTGGCTCTGGCCCTCACGCTCCCTCAGTGTCCCCCGCCCTCGCCTCTGCTGTCACGGGCGCCGGGCTCCCAGTTTTCAAGGGCCGGGCCCTACCGGGTGGGCTACGTGGGTCGGGCTGGCCGTCCCCGCACGAGGACCAGGAGGTCGGGTTTGAGGGGCACACGGATGGGGCACAGGGCTCCAGGCCCTCCTCACATTAAACGTTTCCTGGCAGTCCTCGGCTCTCACGTTGTCCCACATCATGGTCCGCACCAGCTTCCCCAGGGCGTCCATGGACCGCTCGTAGAGAAACTGAAACCCGAGGCGAGGGCGTGAGGCCGAGGCGGGCCGGGTTCTGCCCACGGCCCCCGCCCGGGCTGCCCCGCGCACGCTGATGAGCTCCTTGTCCCTGTCGGTCTCGCCCTGGCTCCTGAGCGCGTCGAGCGGAGGGAGGGGCAGCAGCCTGCGCACGCTCTCCTCCAGGATGTTGAGCTGGTCGTTCAGAGGGAGCCGGGGCTGCAGTTTGCTGGAACGAGAGCCACGCGCGGGGCCGGGTATTACGACGACGAAGGGGACGTGACCCTGCAGGGTCCCCAAGGACCGCCAGCCACGGCGGAGGGGGTCGGGCACACTGCCCGACGTGCTGGGATGTCGGGGGAGCGGGGACCGGAGCCGGGGGAGACTGGGGACGGAAGGAGGCTGTGCCGGTGAGCATCGCCGACGGCCTCGGCTGTGGTTTGCTGGGGCGACAGCAACTCCTCACCTGCCCTGCCTCCCCGGCCCTTTCGCAGGCCACCTGTGATAACACTAACTGCTGGGTCTCTCCAGCGCTCGGGCACGGGAGGGGAGGAGAGAGAAAGCGAGAGAGAGGGGGGGTCGAGGTTTGGAGCAGTGGGTTTATCGGTTTCATCTGTCCCCTCACGCTATATGTAGTGTCACACGTAACTATAGGTTCCTACAAATGCACATCCTGCATCCCTTCTCTCCCCATGATATATCCTGANAAATGCACATCCTGCATCCCTTCTCTCCCCATGATATCTCAGGATATCATGAGGACATGAACAAACCTGGACATACCTTGGCAAGATGCAAATGTTCAAAAAAACATGAAAATCCCATTTGTTACTAAAAAAAGACAATACAGTACCACTTGTCAGTGACCAAAGGAGCGAAGAAATGAAAAATGGTGACACTCTCAGGGCAGGGTGAGATTGGCCCTCTCACGGGGAGGAAAAGTTGGGGCCAGCTCTACTGAAAGAGTTAAATATGTTGATATATACTTAATAGTCTTCTCATCTTTGTTGTCTGGCTGACTTTTAAAAAATCAACTTATTGATGTATAATTTATGCACAACAAACTGCATCCATTTAAAGTGCAATTAAATGAGTTTTGCACCCATGAAACAACCATTATAATCAATGCAAAACATTTCTACCACCCCAAATTTTTCCTTACACCCCCCTGTAGTTCATCTCTTCCTCCACCTGGCCCCAGGCAAACACTGATTTGCTTTCTGTCATTAGAGACTGGTTTACAGGTGTCCAGTGCAAGTGAGGCCGCACTAGCGACAGGTGGCTCTTGGACACCTGGGGGGTGGCTAGCCTGGGTCAGGATACGCTGCCATTCTATACACACTGGATACGGGATATTTAGTAAGAAAAGTCATGCAAATGATCGCGTTACTATTTTATATATTGAATTCATGTTGAAATAAGTAAGGCACCAAAAAAAACCCCAAATATTGTATGATTCTACTTATATGAGATACAAACATATAAAATTCATAGAGACAGAAAGTAGAATGGTGGTTCCCAGGGCTGGTGGGAGGAGGGGACGGAGAGCCGTTGTTTAATGGGTATAGACTTTCAGTTTTGCAAGATAAAAAGAATTCGGGCCGTAGGGTGCATAACTATGTGATTCGACATAACACTACTGAACTATGTACTTAAAATGCCGAGGATGATAGCCTGGCCGGCGTGGCTCAGCGGTTGAGCACTGACCTGTGAACCAGGAAGTCACTGGTTCGATTCCCGGTCAGGGCACATGCCCAGGTTGCGGGCTTGATCCCTAGCAGGGGGCGTGCAGGAGGCAGCCGATCAATGACTCTCTCATCATTGATGTTTCTCTCTCTCCCTCCCTCTCCCTTCCTCTCTCTGAAATCAATAAAAACATATTTAAAAAAATGACTAGGGTGATAAGTGATGTGTATTTTATCACAGTTAAAAATTTTAAAAAAAATTTAATGAGAAAAGAACGATGTTTGTGAAGGACTGGCGGTAATTTGGTAGTACAGAAGGTGCAGTGAGAAATAGCAAGAAGAAAAGGCATATGCAGAGCAGGACCTCAGCTCTAATCTAATGGGGCGCTGCATGTGAAGACCCGAAGAGGGGGAGGAAATAGGGCAGATTTTATTGTATTTTTAAAGCTTTCTATAGTTTCCAAGTTTTAACAGTGAACTTGTAGTTCTTTTACTGCAGGGTGGGGGGAGGGGATGGGGAGATATTATTTTAAAAACTTGCTTAAACTTATTTTCTTCTTCAGGTTTATTGCTAACAGCCAACTAGAATGTGATTAGGGCTGTCACAATTTTTTAATGGGAAGATTAAAATTTTTCTACAGGCCAAGGTCTAGGAAGAAGAATTTCCTTTGGCACAGAAATTTCAGTCTCCGCGTTATCGATAAATCTGACACCTCTAAGCAGCTCTTAGTCTCTGTCAGTCAGCAAAGGATCCACCTGTCAGCCCTGAAGCTGCGGAAAGAGAAGAGGCCCCTGTCTGAAACGACCCATCGATGAGCTGTGTTCATTTTCGGGAGGGTGCCCTGGAGCCTGCGCTGACCCATAAATCAGAAGGAGGACTTGGGGGAGGATGTTTTTCCAATGACAACGACAAAAAATTCTCTACCTGAGGTATCTGATGGCGATTAAGGCTTTCCACCGAACAGGGGTGGCTAAGGAATCCAGCGGCTCGTCCCTGATGAAGTCCTGCCGCACAAACAAGGGGGTGCAGTGTTTCAGAAAGGATGAAGAGAGTTTCCCAATGCAGCTGCGATTGATACCATTGTAAATAACCTCGTTATCAATAACAGGAAAGGGGCCGGGGGAGGCCAAATCATATAAGCTTTGCCAGGAAAATGCAGTCTAACACTCCCCAGGGAGCCACCGGTCTGTTCCCCACAGATCACTGGGGGGAGGGACTGGACAGGGTGAGAATGGCCACATGCCCAGTAAAGTCTGGGGAAGGTACCTGTCTGTGAGTCACACCTGGGAACAGGTCATTGGCCAGAGCAGGCTTGGCCACTGCAAACTCGGGAAGATTTGAGATACTTAATTCCTTAAGCAAAGGAGTTCTTGCTCTCTTGGTTCCTGGCTCTCTTGGTTGCTCTTGTGTTTTCTGGATTCTTGGGACTCCTGTTGCAGGGGGAGCACTCTCTTGGCTCCCCTGCATTTTCCCACATGGCCCACGGCCATGTGGACCCCACACAATGGACCAATGGACTGCAACTAGCCTGATGCTGAACCGGACCCAGTTGTAACACAGAACGGAAACTGGACACTTGGCTTTGCTTCTAGCTCTGCTGAATCCCCAGCTGTACTTCTCCCAGGACTGGATTAAGGGAAGTGGGACTTTGGAAACCCCCAGCACTCAATGGGGAAAGAGATACCCCACTTCCACCGATAACACAACCTCATTGGGCCCTTGGGTGACCCTGGGCAGAAATATGGCAGAGATCTGTCCTCTCTGCTCACTCACCAGCATGTGACCGAGCAGCAACTCCTTGTAGGAAAACTTGAACCCCCAATCTTCAGCATCTTGGACAGCAATGCCAATCTCAGTGATGCTTCTTGTGAAACTCATTTGCAGATCCATGTCCTAAAGCAAAATGATTCAGTGTACAAGCTGGGGTCTTAGGCATCACTCCTGGTTCTACAAATGCGTCGCGACCTAGGGTTGAAATGCAGGCCCAGAAGGAGCCCGTGTTTGCTCCTTTTGCCATCTCTCCCTCAGTCTGGGGTCGAAGTCGCAGGGAACTTGAAAAACAAAGGTCAATTTCCACTCCCTCCCCCGAACTCCACCCTGCCTGGTAGATCAAGTTTCTCTAGAGCAGTAGCTTTCAAACTTTTTTGACCATAAATCACAGTAGAAAACAGTTTACAATTCCACCCAATATTACATACACAATATCTATACCTATCATCTATCTATCTATCTATCTATCTATCTATCTATCTATCTATCTATATCTATCTATCTATCTATCTATCTATCTATCTATCTATCTATCTATCTATCTATCTATCTATCATCATCTATCTATATCTATCTATTTATCTATCTATATCTATCAATCATCTATCTGAAATAAAAGTTTTACAATACTGCTATATGCAATGTACTCTTCTATTTCTCTTTTATTTCACTACAAAAATTTTGCTGGTTGTGATCTATTAAATTAATTTCATGGTCTACTGGTAAGTCAGACAACCCACAGTTCTAAAACCCTGCCGTAGTTTATAGCCTAACTTCCAAACCACCTGGAACCAAATACAGCATCTAGCTCTGTCCTAGACAAGGCTCTGGGATCCCGGCTTCAAAATTGGATTAATATATATTGAGATCCTTTCCTGTGGAATCAAATCAAGGGGACATCTATGCTTACTGCACTTCTGGGGAGCATGATTTGTGATCAAATATATAAATTCAAATACATCACATACCTTGTTCATCACAGACATGCCCAGAACCTGAAAATTCAAAGGTAAAAGCAGATGCTGGAGCAGCAGTGAGAGAGTCCCTGAGCCCCAACAAGGAGACCCGCCTAACACCCTGAAGGATCCAGTGCAGCAGGACACCCCGTCTTGCCAAAGGGTGGGGTCCGCTTACTTCCTCCTGCATTTTCAAAGGGAGGCCTAGTGCACTGGCAGAAACTTTCCCTCGGGTGAGTCCCCACTGTGCTCCAGAGGCAGCCTTCGGGCCTCAGGCCTCACAGTTTAACGAGGCTCTGCTGGACTTGGGTGAGAAAAGGGGGAGGGCTCTTGGCAGAAAGAGCAGCGAAAACTTCAGAAAGGAGAGGCAATGGGGCAGCTCGCTGTGGAACTGGATCCAGTCAGTTCCTCTATGACGCTTGTGTTGAAAATGCAGACCTGTTCCAAGGAGGTCGGTCTAGGCGGGCATATCTGTAGCAGCTCTGGGTTTTGCGTTTGCTGACCCGCAGCTGCGTCCGTGAGAGCAAAACGGTGCCCCACGTGAACTGCGCTGCGTGAGAGTCCACACGCACACCTCGGCACCTCCGCGGCCTCAGTTCACTGCCCTGGCACCCCATCCGAATCTGGCGTTACCGCTATCCAGCAGATTTCAGATAACCTTTCTCTGCCACCATTTCATAATGTTTTACAACTTTCACAATTGACTGTAGGTATTTTTCAAGGAAAAAGGCCACCATTTTTGGTAATATATATATACACATACACATATCCATATCCATATACACATACATATACACATACACATACATATACATATACATACATATATATAGCACAATTTTGAATTGTTTTTAAAAATAGATTTCTGGGTGTTTTTTTAATGCGTCATTGATGGATTTTTTTGAATATTGTGCCCCTCAGCCCATTTCCCTCACAATCCCCGGGATCCTCCTTGTACTACTCAGAGCACGTGTTGTGTCCTAGCAAAACTGATTGCACCTTGAAGGCGTACAGTCATCTTTATCTAAAACATCTCTGTCTCCTTTCCTCTTCTATTTTTATCATAATTTTCTCAGTGATGGACTGAAAGTTAATGGAACATGAAATGTCTTTTTTGGTTACGTTTTCTGCTCTCCTCATTGTGTGTCAAATTTTGCATGCGTGGGGACGATCTTGTGGGGGGACGATCTTTTGGGGGGCACTTTAAACATGCAGGTTCCGAGCATGTCCCGGAAGACTGCGGTTCGCCAGGGAGGGGACCTCTGTGTGCATCAGGCCCCTGGTGGCCGTCCTCAGCGGCCGGGGTGTGAGGGTCGCGAGCCCGCCCCCCCAGCACGTGCTCGCATCTGTGCCTCGCGGGCTCCCTGTGATTCCGTCCTTGTCACCTACACACGTGAGTTTACATCAAGAGCACAGGTTCTTCGGACAGGTGGCGTGCAGAGGGCACAGGAGCGTAAGGCACAATCCCTAATGTCAGGGCGCCGACCGCTTGGTGGGAGAAGCAGGTGTCAGCGAGAGCTTCCCAGCCTGGCCATGGATGGAAATCATTCAGAAACCTTGAAAAATACAGGTGCCAGGCTCTACCCAGGCCGCCTGAACCCCCCTCCCTGGAGCATGGCCCCGGGAAGCTGTTTTAAACTTGACCCCTAGGTGGTTCTTAGGTGGCAGCTCGGGCCTAGTCAGCAGAATAGCTAAACCGACAATGTGTACAAAGCGCTTTACTAAAGAGACCAAGAATGCTACGGGCGCAGAAACGATGGGGTGAATCCTAACCCGGCTGGGGGCCCTGAGTTAGAGACAGAACATTCTTGGCATGTTTGAGGAGCATCAGGGACAGTCGGGGTGGCTGGGATCATGTGGGGGGGGAAAGCAGTACAACATGAGATCGACTGGGTAGATCGATGGGTGACATGATTTATTCACTTAAAAGCACACATGTGGCACTTATTTGTGAAGCACTGTTTTACGAGGTTTATAGATGTTACCATATAAAAGTTTAGACATCTTCCATTAGTAACACTTTAGAGGCTTTTAGAAGGAACTAATAAACCAGCTGCCCTAAAGCAGAAGGGGATTAATTGTTTGAAGTTCAAAAGTGGGTGAGGCGACTATGGGTACAATTGACATGGGAGGCACCGCGGGGGTGGTAGGACATGGGCATCCCAAGACCTTAGGAGAGAAACAAATGACCTGTTTCATGACAAACTTTTCTGTTCCCACATGTTCCCATCTTCCAAACGTACCAGATCCTACCTTGCCTTTGTTCCTTTGAGCAGGAAGATTCCCAGGGCCTGATCCACCCCCCCAAGGTTTGGGAACCCCAGCCTGGAAACAGAGGCAGCCTGTCATGGTCATTACCTGAGAGCACTGGTGATAAAGGAACAGGACTTGGGATACGATGTCTTGATCAAGCCTGGTGAGGAGCTGGCGCTTGGGGGCATGGAGGGCCACGGCCCCGTAGATTACCATGATGTCAGTCTTGCTGAGGCTCTTCTTCCCAGAGAAAAGACCCTGAAGACAAGGGGACACACGAACAGTATGAGCGAAGGAGTCTACTTTCTCTCACGTCTTCCTCACCCTACGGATGACTACAGAGATTAAGAAACGAGATGGAGGTGATAAAGATTTGTCCAAAACAGGTACTCTTGTTTGTCTGAATTTAAACACCCTGATTGTGCTGTGGACATATCAGGCTTTAATAGAGGGGCCTGCGAGAGGCTTGTGTTAACTTTTACTTATTAAGTTTGTCTCCTTCAGGGGAGGCAGGGTGTCTATGTGCAAACTGTCTATGAAGGCCGAGCAGCTGGTAGGGACAAACCTAGACACACACACAGAGCTCCTTAGGGCTTCTGGGTCAGCATTAGTCACAGAAAATAGAGTAGCCTTGCTAGCTAGCTGGTCACCCTATGGGGTCTGGGCTTCCACAGTCCTGACCTTCTGACCTGGAATAAAGGCCTGGGGACAGGAATCAGTATAATATGACCAAAAGCTTTGGGAAAAAAAGAGTGGGAGTTTTTTGGTTTTGTTTTGTTTTGTTTTTACCTTGCATCGATTCATGAAACGCTTTTCCCGATCCTGGAATGTCTTAAGAACTTTTAAAACAGTATCCAAGTGGTTCTCGGCACAGTGTCCCAAAACAGATGCTGTTCCCTAAAGTCAGAAAAGAGATGAGATTGGGGGTTTAACCATCCATTTATTCAACAACTACTTACTGAGCACCTATGATGTGTCAGGCTCTTTTCTAGGTGCTGGGGATGCAAAAGTAAAAAGATACACACCAAACTCCTTGTCCTTGTGAAGTGTACGTCCAAGGGAAGTGACATTACATAAACACAAATTCAGTAAATGTAAATATATAGCGTTGTGATGGCAATAAGTGCTATGGAGAAAAGAGAAACAGAAAAAGGGCACAGTTGCTGCAGGTTGGGGGCAGTTTGCGATTTATTTATTTCTTTATTACCATTTTAAAAATCTTCACCAGAGGATATGTTCAATGGCTTTAGACAGAGAAAGGGAGGGAGAGACGGAGAGAGAGAGAGAGGGGGAGAAACATCGATCGGTTGCATATCGTACACGCCCTAATCAGGGACCGAACCCAAAACTTAGGCATGTGCCCTCAGCTGGTGGTATCTGGAGACATTTAATATGGGAGAAAGACCCTAAACACCTTGGAATTTCTGAGGAGAGTATATAACAACCCAATACTTATTTTATACTAGGTGGTTCTTATTAACTTGGAGAGGGTTTTGGTTTTTTTAAATACACACCCTCTCCTTCCTCCGTATTTATATATGTTCTCTAGCCTAGGCTAGGGTAGGGAATAGGGAATGGGGGGGAGGGGGCGAAAGCTCTCCAGGTTATACTTATATTCTCTCTAGGTTGAAAACCATTGGTGTGTGTGTGTATATATAAACACAAATATAAAACTATATATATAGTTAGTTTCAGCTTGTAGACTCAATAATTTTGATGTTTATGATCATACCCAAATTATAAAGCCAATGTCAAATATATAAAAGATACTTGTTAAATAAGAAAGATTAAAATTTGTTTTTCAGTATTTTTACAAACATGGTTAAATAATGAAACATTGATATTTAAACAGGGTGTGTCATTTTCCTGAGAAATTCCATTGGGCTCTTTTGACTGTATTCATGGATAATTCTGGACAAGTAAGACATTATCATAAGACTGTCCGGTGGAATTAATAATTATCATTGTCATAAGAGGACATTGAGAGATAGGAGTCCCACCTGTCGCTGGTCCCCCAGCTGGTTGGGAGCAATCAGAAATTCCTTAATCTGTGAGCTTACAAAGTTTGTATCTTGGCAGGATGCTAAGGTGGTTCCCAAGGCTTTCCAAAGGAATTTCTGGAACACAGAGGACAAGAGTGTTAAAGGTCGGAAGGCAAGACCCTGCTGACTTTATATTTATATACTTCACCCCATGGAACCCGCATCACAATGCACCCTCAGAGGTGGGTATCATCTCTCCTTCCCCGATCAGTACTGAGGCTAACCTCCAGAGAGGTTAAGTAATTTGCCTAAAGCTACATAAGTAGTATGTAGCAGAAAGTGGATTCCTACAATGAGGAGGGTCAGGTTGAGGCCTGCTGGAGTCAGGAGAATGAAAGAACTGGCCTTTGATTCTTTTAGTGCCAAGTTTTTGTTAAAAGTAGTAGATTCTTTCTGGTAGCCAGCCTCAAACACCGGCCCAGTGGAAAGCAAGATGCAAGCCTCGTGCTAAGTGCTCTGGCAGGGCTGCTATCGGCCTTCCAGTATTCATTCTTCTTCCTTCTCTAGGACAGAACCCCTGAATTCTAGTCAGGCACACATCTATCTTCCCCCCCACAATAATCCTCACCCAAGGATATGTTTTTATTGATTTTAGAGAGAGGAAGGGAGAGAGAGAGAGAGAGAGAGAGAAAGAGAGAAACATCAATGTGAGAAACATTGATCAGTTGCCTCCCATAGGCTTCTCGACTGGGGATCGAACCCTCAGCCTAGGTATGTGCCCTGCCTGGGAATCAAACCCTCAACCCTTTGGTGCATGGGATGGTGCTCCAACCAACTGAGCCATCCGGCCAGGGCAGGAACGTGTCTATCTTGAAGACACTATACTTCAGTTTTCCTCGTAGACAGCTGCGGCCCTGTGGATAACTTTTGGTCCAGTGTGAGGCGAAGAGAAGGTAGCATTTTTCTAACAGGTCCTCCCTCTTTCTGACTGCAGGACAGACGAACTGGAACTTGAGCAGTCATTTCACATCATCAGGTAGAGCTGAGGCCCCGAGCGGGACACCAACCTTCTCGATGGAGGTGTTGCTGTAACTGCCCATCTGCTGGTTGAAGTCCCGACTCAGCTGGATGGTCCAGGCCACGTCACCAATCTTCCATAAAGACTCTTTGAGCAACTGCGGTGGGAGCGGGAGTCAGACGTACATGTGACTGTTTAGCGTGCTCTCTTGGTACCTTTTTGGTACTTTATTTTTCAAAAGTATAAATATATATTAAATGGGATTATTCTGTTTCTCATAAAAAGGACACACCTAGTTCCTTTGGAACTTTGCATCTTAGTTTATTTGCAAAGCCATGTTTTGAATTCCCACCAGAAATAAGTTACACAGAATCTGAAAGTAACTCCAGGTAGGTGCCTCTCTTTCTTCCTAAATGAAAATTGCTTAAAGACTTAAAAGAAAGCAACCTGTCCTGAAACTTAAATTGACGTGAACGTTTTCAAAGTTCTGGACAGGTTTGGAAAAACTCCATTTGTCAATGTTAGTTTGCTTTATTATAGACTAAAACAGGGGACATTTTTTGGAGTAAAGAAATAAATGTCTTTAAGAGCCAATCAGATGTACAGGCACTTTTTGCTAACTTCAACTCCAGTAATTATGTATTCCTAGTTTCACCAATTGTTCTGAGGCCAAGGCCACAGTGACTCATCTGAGCCCATGTTCTTTTTCACTGAACAATACATAAAAAGGCGTTTTTGTCTTTTTGGAGGACAACATCCATTGCAATTTCTAAAATCTATTCTCTCTTCTATATTTTCTCTACTTTAAGTCTAGAAAAGGACACCTAATGTCAAAGCCAGTGAAAAAATCTGTATGCATTTTCTTAATAGGAACTCTTTCCGTGAGTGGGTCCTTTGACGAGAAAGAGTTCGACAGCCTTGGGTGTCTAAGCCAAGGAGGCACAGGCAGAACCTTTGGAGGAGGGCTGGAAGCACACTCAAGGCTGGAAGAGGGGAAGAAGCTGGCCTCAAGGCTTCTCCCTAGAGAAAGAACCCTCATTCCTGGTCTGAACGGTTACTTTAAAATGGCAGCAGGGGAACACAGGCCGGGATTTCGATGGGGGTGGGGAGGGTAGAGAAACACGAGTAAGGAGAAGAGGCGGGCCCTAGAACTAAGGGCCAGGGGAGTAGACAGTGGCCTTCACATCTCATATTGAGTAAGAATCGCTGTGGGGTCTTTAAAAGGTGCCAGTTCTCAAGCAC